CAAGCAACACTCCGAACCGTCATTATCGGGGTGGGGTACTATTATAGTATTTACGGTAAAAGTTTGATTCTCTTTCGCGTTACGTTATTAGGTGGCAAACCACAAAATTGTGCAGTGTTTGAAGAAATCTTTGCGACAATTGATTCAGTGTAGTGCACCCGGCGTTTGCAGCCCATTTGCAGCTCGCTTTTTTGTGCACCGAACGTAATCTATATTAAGAATCGAACTCTAATCGAAGAATCTAAAAATTAGCATAATGTAATAATACGATATTAATATTGTATTATTAGCATAATGTAATTAATATTGTATTACAATTGTAATCAATATTCTATTACAATTGTAATTGTAATTGTAATTGTAATTGTAATTGTAATTGTATTACAATTGTATTACAATTGTAATTATTACATTATGCTAATATTGTATTACAATTAGCATTGTAACAATTAACATTATAACAATTTAACAAAAAAAATAATTGGATATGCAAATTCCCACGAATGAAATCCCTTTTATCTTTTTCGGTTTCAGGCGTTTCTTTTCATTTTCACCGCGCAAAACACCGGCTGGCTGACCCGCTTTCTTTGCTCACTTTTTTTCTTCTGGGATTCTGTGAGAAAACCCATCAACTTTCAAACAATATTCAAAGGTTTTCAAGTTCAGTTTCAAGTTTTCAGTTTCGACGTGTTTTAGATTGGACAACGACAATGTTTTAGATTGGATTTTACAATGAAACTTCTTTTTACAACCGTTTTGACGATTTTGAGCTTTGCAAAGGAAATCTTGTTGTTATGAGCTTTAGAATCATCCCATAAAATGAATTGCTCGTTGAACACGTGGAAAGCTTTTCTTTGAGCCTTTTCTTTAAGCTTTTTTCAATCTTTAACTTTTTCTATTGTACTTATTTTTAAATTGCAATAATTTCAGGCAAACAATTTCAAGAATTAGTCCTTTAACTGTGAAATCCTTTTCAATAACGATTCCTTTCTTTCTGAATCACGTTTAAACTTTTAAGCTTTTTGTATAGAATCATCCAATTCAGTTCACTTCACAAGTTTGTGACAAAACTTTTTTTAAAATTAGCTAAAAGTTATTGTACTAAAAGCAATTCTGCTGGAAGCTACTGTTAAAAGCTACTGGTAAAAGCTACTGCTAAAAGCTACTGCTAAAAGCTACTGTTAAAAGCTACTGCTAAAAGCTACTGCTAAAGCTACTGCTAAAAGCTACTGGTAAAAGCTACTGGTAAAAGCTACTGTTAAAAACTACTGCTAAAAGCTACTGGTAAAAGCTACTGCTAAAAGCTACTGCTAAAAGCAATTTATTCTTATAGTATCATAAGCTTTTTGTATAGAATCATACAATTCAGTTCACTTCACAAGTTTGTGACAAAACTTTTTTTAAATTAGCTAAAAGCTATTGTACTAAAACTTAAACTTATAGCTAGCTTTAGAACTTTATAGAAAAACTAGAATCGCTGAATTACCATAGTTTTGTTTCCTTGGTTTCTGTTATTTGTAACTAAAATTTATTTAAAAACCGCTTCTGGCAAGTGTTCATAATTTACGACCAGAAGTTAACTAACAAATAGCAAAACAAGTGAAATAAACTTTCAAAATAACAAATCAATAAACAATTGGGCCTTCCGAAGGCTGAATCACTTGAAAAACTCTGTTGTCCATGCTTAAAAAGAGGTTGAGATTGTTATTAACTCGTTTACTCCCTTATAACTCTCCGAGTATCATTTGCAATTCGTAAACGTATTGCGCGAGGGGAGCCGTAAATCGCGGGGGTCAGTAATTACTCGCAGCTTGCCGGCAATGCATTTTCAAATTCACCGTATTGGCTTTGAAGTGCCGGTGAGGATTGGAAAAGGGAAAAGAGAGGAGATCAAGGGTTGAAGTTAGGGGAAAACGATTAGAGACTCAGCCAATCACTCATCTTTGTCTACAATTAGACTTCTGTTTCCATCAAGAGCTCGAGAATGTAGTGACGATTGCATTTTGTACCCAATATGCATTTGAAATTGTTTATTCTGAGCAATCAGCAATGTTTATTCTAAGCAATTCTCAGCAATTCTCAGCACGTGTGGCTGACTGGTTAAGTGTCTTTTATCTTAATCGGAAGGTCGAGGGTTCGAACCCCACATGCGACATGGTCACCCCCTTCGGATTTCCTTTCCCTTCGGGTTGAGAGGTTTTCTGGAGGGCAGTCTGGTGGTTGTGGCCCCAGTTCTTTAAAGTGACAAGCCACTCCTTCATCGTCATCTTCCCTTCACCACCAAAAAAGCTATTTAGTTCCCCATTGAGCTTAGGGTTAGGGAGCCGTCTGTCATGACGTGGGTTAAGTTAAGATATAGCCTAGTATTGTGTGTGTCGTTGTATTGTGATTGATATATTTCGTGTATGCGATAAATTCACCACTGGTAGCCCCAGTCGGTATTTTTAAAAAAAAAAGCAATCTGAGCAAAGCAATTCTCAGCAAAGCAATTCTCAGCAAAGCAATCTGAGCAAAGCAATCTGAGCAAAGCAATCTGAGCAAAGCAATTTGAGCAAAGCAATCTGAGCAAAGCAATTTGAGCAAAGCAATTCTCAGCAAAGCAATCTCAGCAAAGCAATTTGAGCAAAGCAATCTGAGCAAAAGTTACAATGCACTACTTTTATGAAATCAAAAACGTTTGTTTGATTATTAACTTGACCAGGACGCTATTTTATGTGAAAACCCTAAACAATCAAAACAATGGCTTATTGAGTTATTGAGTTATTATCAACAAGTGTTATTGAACAACAAGAGTTATTGCCCACAACAAGAATTATTGAGTCAAACTTTTGCCAAGTCTCAAACCTAAAATTGAGGCTAGTAAAGTAAACTGAGATTGTGCGGGGGTTTAACTCAACTCAACTCCACAACCTACTCCTTTCCCCGGTCCACAATTATCTTTCTCATTTCCCTTCCAAGAGATCTTGACTCCAGAAAAGGGCCAAAGGGCACAATTATCGTATCTCGATGTCACAAATCTTGTTTCTTCCGAAGGAAAAACCCTCAATCAATCACTAGAAGAAATTATCCAGAAGCAGTTGAGAAGCAGTTGAAATTTGAAAAGCTAGAGATTTGAAAAGCTAGAGATCTGAAAAGCTAGAGATCTGAAAAGCTAGAGATTTGAAAAGCTAGAGATTTGAAAAGCTAGAGATCTAAAAAGCTAGAGCTCTGGAAAGCTAGAGCTCTGGAAAGCTAGAGATCTAAAATGAAGAAACAAAAAGCTTGTATCAAACAAAAGAAAAGAAAAACACATTTTGGCTCTACTTAAATCAAATCTATCTGATATATTTTGAATTTAGATTCAAAATATCACTTCTTGTACAGGGTTTTGTCCCTTTCCCGTCCCCAGCGAACACTTATCACTGTGAAAATAAGAAGCTTATGAACGCCAGTCAGTCTTTTCTCTTTTCTTGTGCTCATTGAGGAATGGTTCATTTCAAAATTGTTATTGCAAATGAAATGCAAAAATTGTTGCATCAATTTGGAAAAAAGAAAATCTCCTCATTTAGACTAACTCGATCTTTTAACGACTTTTGGTTTTCGTGGAGGCAGGTGGGGAAAGTGGGTTGTCTAAAATGGTAATTTGTCGGAGCTAAAGACTGTAGAAACTAAAATTTGCAAGTTTTTCAGATTCCACAGACAGAAATCAATCAATTTCCTCTTTCAAGTCATTGAAAAACTCATCAAACCTCCTAGGGCTTGATCATTTTGGAAAAAGATGCAATAGACTGGAAAAAGATGCAATTTCTAATTGCTTTCTTAAATCTAACTATTCTATAAGACTTGCTGATATGCTCCAAATTGATATGCGGATTTTCTTTGACGATCTTTGTGATCTTTGTCTTTGACGGTTGTCTTTGAAGCATTGATTTGAAGCATTGATTTGAAGCATTGATTTGAAGCATTGACTTTCAGCTCGGCTTTCACCTCAGATTTCCGTGAATATTGTCGACAATTTGAATTTGACAAATTTGTCGCTTTGCTCATGGCGTAAGCATTGACTTTGGTTCTCGACAATTTCCAAGAGTCGAATCGCCATTGTTTTTCAACTCGAAAAACAAGGTACAGTAAGGATTTGTGGAAAAAAAGACAAGAAAAGGGGCTGTCCCTCATGAACCGATCAAAAAAGTCTCTTCTGGGGTTGGGGTTGGCTCCGCCCCTTCACCCCACCCTTCCCTCTTTCCACAAATTCTCCGACCAACCTGCTTTTGTCTTGTGTATCTCCCTAGGGTCTCCTTTTCTAATATCTTCAGTCTCATGTCCTTAAATTTGCATATGCTAATTTCCTTCTCCACATTTGCCACTTATTTTTCTGTTTTCCAAGGTAAAGAGTCACTAATGACTGATCGTTGAATCTTTTAATATTTAGAGACAAGCTAGAGATAAGCTTTTAACGTTTAGAGAGAAGCTAGAGACAAGCTAGGGACACGCTTTTAACATTTAGAGACAAGCTAGAGATAAGCTTTTAACATTTAGAGACAAGCTAGAGACAGGCTAGAGATAAGCTTTTAACATTTAGAGACATGCTAGAGACAAGCTAGAGACAAGCTTTTAACGTTTAGAGACGCTTTTAACATTTAGAGACAAGCTAGAGACAAGCTAGAGATAAGCTTTTAACATTTAGAGACGCTTTTAACATTTAGACAAGCTAGAGACAAGCTTTTAACATTTAGAGACAAACTATTCTCGTGGCACGTGGCATTTTGACACTCAAATCTTTTTTATTATTGTTAGATACAGAAAATTTCATTTATTACTTCCATTTTTTCGTTTATTATCATTTATTGTTTATTCATTTATTGTTTATTCATTTATTATCAAATGTATACCATTTTTCTATTATAAAATGATCATCTTGATCGACTACTTTATTAGAATTTCTTCTTGAAAACTTAATTTTCGCAAAAGCTTTGTTTTCGCTTTTCTATTATTATATAAAAGGATAGTTTTTTTTACAGAAAATGGCCCCAAATGGTCGGCTAATATTTCTGCTGTTTTACTTGATATTCGCTATCGATGGCGCTCCAATTGGACACAAAGAAAAGCGATTCCCGTCGGCGATCATTATTGGTGTGAAAAAGGCAAGTGCATTGATTGTTCATTGATTGGATTTATTGAAAAAAATTTGCTCTATCTCAACTTTATCAGCACTAATCAGCAGTAAAACTAATCAGTATCAGTATCAGCACCAATCAGCGGTAAAACTGATAAGATGGGCATTCCTCTTCATAACTTTTCCCGCAAATTGTGATTGTCAATTTGAATTTATTTATTTATTTCAAATTTCAAAAGAATTGGGTCAAAAATTACCAAATTTAAGCGATTTTAGAGCTGTTACTGTTTAAAGGCTTACCGTAAATACTGTAATAGTACCCCACTCCGATAATGACGGTGCAGAGTGTAGGGTGGTCTAGCTTTGGACGAGTTTTTCTCGAGACTGGTTTATGCTACAATGCGCGTTTAGGTATCAAAAAATAGCTGAGATTCAGGGCTATTTTTGATACCTAAGCGCGCATTGTAGCCTAAACCAGTATCCAGAAAAACTCGTTCAAAAATTCAAATCAAAAAATAGCCCTGAATTTCAGCTATTTTTTGATACCAAAGACGCATTTTTTGAAAATATTTGAAAAAAATGAAATACTAAAAAACTTTTGCGACTTTTGCGACTACGCGACTGTACGAGGGGGGTGGGGTACTATTACAGTATTTACGGTAGAATATTTGAACAAAATTCAGGCTGGCACCCGTGCTTTACTGGAGTTCCTTCGACTCAATCAAAAAATCCACGCACCCGGCCCAGAGGTTCACTTTTTCGACAAAAACTACGAGAAGGGACTCGAGTGGTATAGGTGGGTTGAGGTTTTGAACAAAAATTTACATAAATTGTCTCTTTTCTCTCTCTTTTCTCTCACTTATTTCTTCTTTTCATAACATTTTTATGTTACCAAACCCATTTTTCTTTTTCAATTCTTTAGAATGTTCAGTTTAGTTTAGTTTACCAGTAGTTCAGTTTCAGTTTCTGGTGCAACTAAGCCGAGCTAAACTCAGGCGTTGGCTTGGGTTTGGTTTGTGCAAAAAACGAATCAATTTGCTTTAAATGAACTGGTTATCGGACGATATACGCCGCGCTCCTTTTGCTATTGGCAATCTAACTTTGAGCTCAAATATCTTGGTGTTGGACTGTCCAATTTACATGTTCTTGGTATCATTAGATGCGCCAAGTCTTTCTCTATCGATTGGTACAAAAACTATTTAGATTGAGCAGCTCAACACCAAGATATTTGAGCTCAAAGTTGGATTGTTAATGGCGGGGGCGTATTAAAGGTCCCAGAATCGCCCTGCCGCTTTGATCTAATATCTTCGTGTTGGGGTGTCCAATCTAAATAGTTTTTGTACCAATCGATAGAGAAAGACTTGGCGCATTTAATGCTGCCAAGAATATTTAAATTGTACAGCCTGACACCTAGATATTTTAGCTCAAAGTTTGCCAATGGCAAAAGGGGCAAGGCGCGGATCAAATGACCCACAATCAAATAAACTATAGCCAAACCAGTTGTTTAGAACCAGGTACAGTAAATGAATCCAAGATTGATTGTGAGCTAAGTCATAAGACGGGTAGTACTTTTTTACTTTTACTACTTCTTTTTCTCCTCATCACTTCATTTCCCCCATTTGAGTTTCCTCTCGTTGGTGGGCAATTCGCTAAATAATTAAACGGGCACACCCTGGATGCCTCGTGAAAGAGCTCTTTTGCTTTTACTTTCACCTCATTCGATTCACCAAATGTTAAGCAATGGGATAGAGTTTTAGAGTCAAATTGGGTAGTTTTGGTGATTAATATTACTTTTGTCACTATTACTTTGATCACTTTGGTTTAATTACCCAAATGCTAGCAAAACTCGTGGTGCCCAAGTCAAAAGTCATCGATTCTTTGGTTCATTTTTGATTTCACTCCAGAGAAAGATTAAGTGATGATTTGTGAGATTAATAATTAGTCTTGTCTCACTAATCAGGCGTGTATCTTGCCGATGGGTGAATTGTGATAGAATAGATAAGGAAATCGTCAAAGTTTGGTCAAAAAAAGCGTAATCTCAAATAAATCTTTAAAAGTCACAAATATTTTGTTACTTTTGGGAGATTTTGACAATGAAACATGAAATAAAACAAAACAATCAAAGAAAAAAACAATTGAAAATACCAATGAAACTTTTTTTTTATGTTTCAATGCAAACAATTCATTTCAATTCAATTTCACTCCAATTTATAAGTAATTACAGCAATGATTTATCACTTGGACACTCAGAAATCCCTTGCTCAATCTAATATTTGTATCTTTATGTATCTTTATGAATCTTTACTAGCTTTATTATCTAATAGTGATGAATGAGTTAGCGATTCGTCGCTAAGGAGATAGAGATCTGAAGATTTTGAAAGAAATCGAAAGGGGAAAAGAGTCGGCAAAAGGGACACTGATAAATCGCTTCCATTTCCGGGAAAACCCCACGAGAAATTTGCATTCCAACTCTTAAAAAGAAACAAAAACAAATTATTACATTAAAAAGGCATTTACATTGAACTTGAATAACTAAACTAACTAAATTGAACTAAACTAACTGAATTTAACTAAATTTAACTTAACTTTAACTTCAATGATTAGCTAAACTTAGCTAAACTTAGATAAAGCTTAGCTAAACTCAGCTAAACTTAGATAAAGCTTAGCTAAACTTGGCTAAAGCTTAGCTGAACTTGAATGATTTGACATTGAGTCCAGTCCATAGAGTTAAGCTAGGATTTCAGGCCAGCTTTCACACTCAAATTGTTGTTAAAACTTGAGCTGATTTGATTTTCTTGAGCTGGTTTGATTTATTCATTAAATCTTTCCATAACTATTCGGAAAATTTCTCAAACTTCTGTTTTTTGCACCTAGCTTTTCCCTAGCTTTTCCCAAACCTCGCTTTTCCCAAATTTACTGTACAATTTTCTTTCCATTTGCGAAATCTCTTCAAATCTATTCAAACAAAAGCATCAGATTAGGCAAAAATTCTGATTTTTCATATTTTCTCTCATTATGCAAGGGCATTAGTGCGTGCGCTAATCGTTGAAGAGGTTGAATGTGAGCTGGGGAAAGGAAACGGGAAAGGAAAGGGGAAAGGAAAGGAAAAGAAAGAGAATGGCTCATGTCAACTCACCCATTTTCCCCTTTTCTTTCAGTTTACAGGCTGATTCTCGAGTGGGATCGACACTTTGGAGAACCCCACTGGACCTCTCTTTTCTTTCTCTTTTCTTTCGCTTGTCATTACGTAACTCACAAGAGACCTAGAGGTAGCAATGTGGATAAACAATGAAAGTTTGCAAAGAGAGATGAACTCCCAGATCTCCCAGATCTTGTTAAGCTGATGTTAACAAGATCAAGATCAAGAGACAAGATCAAAATCACGATCAAGAGACAAGATCAAGAACAAGATCAAGAGACAAGCTCTCCTAGAACTCTCCTAGAGCTTGTTAACCTAATGTTATCACAGAAATTTGTACGGCTGCCGTCACAGCTGCCATCATTTAAAATTTGTTCTGGAGATAGGCAATTGAGACGCCTACTTGGTTCTTAACTTACTCAAGTAAATAGTAATCTCATAGCTTTTACACTAGCTTTTTGCTAGCTTTGCTGCTGGCTTTTATCTTTTCAATACTTGTATACTATTGCATCAATGTAATACTGGAATGCAATGCCTTTGATCTCATGCAGCTCTGGCTTCTATCAGTTCTTAAACTTAAGCTCTTTCATCTTATAGTCAGACATGAAGCTGACAAGGAGTAGAAAACGAATTGGTCTTCCATTTAAGAAACTGAAACAAACTCCTGATTTTTACCACTAATTTTGCCTTGCTTGAGCTTAAATGTTTAAAGATCTGCTGAAATAAAATAGTAATAAAGTAAAGAAATGAATGGAAAAGGATTTGAAATCGAGGAATTGAACCTTCTGCTTACCTGTTTCTTCTTACGGGCAGATGCTCTACCACTGAGCTATCGGTACCTTTTTGGCCAAGAAGAAATAGGAAAGATAAGGAAGAGAAAGGAAGGAAGGGAGGAAGGAAGTAAGGAAGAAAGGAAGAGAAAGAAAGGAAGGAAGGAAGGAAGAAAAGAAGAAAAGAAGAAAGAGAAGAAAATCTACTAGTGCTTAAAATAAGCTGAAGATTAAGTAAGCAAAACTGGCAAAGCAAAACTGGCAAAGCAAAACTAGCAACTCAAATATTAGTCCGAAGCTCAAAGATCTTCTCAAAGTGATTACTTTTACTTTGTCTTCACCAAATGATCTAAGAATTCTACAGGTCTCAAATTCAAATGCAGCTCATTTATCCACTCTCATCAAAGTATTCATATTTATCTTCTGCATACATATTGTTCAAGTCTCGAGACAGCTGCCATCACTGAATGAGTCCGCTATTCGGTTTCACTTCCACTCTCCCCTCTTTTCAAACTCATTCCCAAAACCCTTTTCCCCTCTTCTAAAACCCAATTAGGGCTCTCCATTTTGACTCCAAAAGTGAGTATCCGTCCTGAGTTGGTCTCGTTGTTAATCGCATTCCGCCGTGGACTCCTTTCATCCACAGGAGAAGTATAACGGCTCGAAAATTCGGTTTTCCGGGGGAATCCGGGTAGAGGAGATTGAAAATAAGCCAGAAAATCTTTTACCGGGTACTTTTACCGGGTATTAGGGGACCTTGGGGGTTTCTGGAAATGATTTTTCACTATTTCAAGGTCATTCTGGAGGATTTCTTGGATTGGTTTTGATTTGAGCAAAAAAAAGCCAACTGTAGGCTTACTATAAGATTGAAAACAAGATTTTCATTCAAAATTCAATGACAAAAAGGTTTCAATGACTCAAGGCAAGGGAAAACTGGCTTGTTACAATTTGTTGAATCAATTTGTTCAGTAAACAAGAAGCCAATCAATTCCGGTAAGACAATTCCGGTAGACAATTCCGGTAAGCAATTCCGCTAAGCAATTTCAGTAAGCAATTTCAGTCAATCAATTTCAGTCAATCATATTCAGTCAATCAATCTCTAAATTTCTAAGCAAGACTTAGGAATTCTTTTCCAACAAAATCGTCTACCAATTGTCTACAATTGTCTACAATTGTCTCCAATCGTTTCCAATCGTCTCCAATCCAAGAGATCTCAAAATGCCATCAATTTGTCGTCAATGAATGTCAATGAATGAGAGAAAAGGACAGAAAAGTGCGCACTTTTCTGTCCTTTCACACTTTCGGGTCATGAATCTCACTCACATCTGACAAGAGAACTACCCAAGATTTCTGTTTTTCCCATTAAATTCAAATGTGAAACGATTTCGATCTCTTTTCCTCTCTTTTACAGCACCGTTGTGCGTTAAAAAACAAGGCAATCCGGTGAGACCTGCTGGCGCCATATTGCGAAAGAAATATGCTTAAGAAATAGGCTTGAGAAATATGCTTGAGAAATATGCGTAAGAAATATGCTTAAGAAATATGATCATTTCATCATTTCAATCGTTTATGAGCTTGATTCAGTCAATTTCTTGATCTTAAATTCTTAAAATGATTAAAGTACAGGATCTACAATAGCTATGTATAGAATGTACAATTGTATAGAATGTACATGTATAGAATGTACAATGTATAGAATAGTATAGCTCAAAGTAGATGATAGTAAGGATCTAAAATACCCACGTATGACAAGTACGATCTGTTTTAAAGTACGATCTGTTTTATAGTACGATCCATTTTTATAGTACGATGTGTTTTATAGTACAATCTGTTTTATAGTACGATCTGTTCTAAAATACGATCTGTTTTATAATACAATCTGTTTTA